TTCTATATTTTAGGAGTTACATTTCATTAACATATATACTCATTAACTGAAATAGTGTAATATCAGTGAATATCAAAAATATTAGAAAAAATGTCATTTGTGAATAATGTTGAAATTTATAAAAAAATGATCTCTGAAGAGGTCATAGAAAAACCATGTGCAATGGATGAAAGTTCCACAGAGTTTATGGTTCTATCCAAATGTGATCACATAGATGAAACACTGGTAATAAAATAATGAATACTTTAACAAATACATATTTAGGATATTGTATTATATTTTCTACATATATTACATGATCTATATATTTTGAATTGATGTCATTGTTAATTAGAAATATTTTGCATAGGTTGTTGGCGAAGAGATAGTTGTAGATGAAAACATGGATACAAATCAACAAATCTCAAAACATGTTATTTGTGAACCAAGAGATACTTCTGAATATTTTGAAGAAAGTATAAGTACAATGTCTGTTGAATATGCAGAAAATTCTGTATCACCTATAGATAATATATCTAAACAAAAATGGCTTCCAAATGATATCAATAAACAAAATTTATTGGTAAATATTTTGAATATTTAAAATTTAAAAAAAAATTAAAAAAAAAAAGTCATATAAGTGTAAACAAATTCGTTTTTATATTATATTAGTGTGTTATATCTTATATTAAGTGTAAAATACAGATGTAATTATTAAAGCAGGTATTATATCATTTAGAAGTTATTATAATATGTTACGTATTTATGTAATTCAATAGTTACCAGAACCTGAAGAAAATGAAACTGAAATGTGTAATAAAGTAATGAGCGATGATCAAGATGGAGATGAAGAAACAATAGCTACATTTATAACTGCTACTGGTCAGCAATTAGCATTGTATGCAGTTGAAGATTCAGAAGAAATTTTTGCTGTAGCAGTTTATGACGAATCTGGTGAACCTCCAACAAATTTTCAATTTCTTATGAAGTATGTGTATTTATATATTTATTGGTTATTAGTTAATAATATGAGGAAATAAGTAATTGCATATGTACCAAATAATAAAATGATTGTATTTACAGAGCAGATGTTGAAAGATTAATAGGTGAAGGTGCTGTTAGAACTGTAAAAAAACCAACACAAATAAAAAAACAATTACTGACTACTCAATCACCATTATTTTTTCCTAAAAATGATTCAACAAATGATTTAACAATGCATGATGAAAATAAGATTATGTCAAATGAAAATGAAAGGGTACAAGAAAAAGAAGATGCATTGGAAGAAAATTCAACTTTAATGGAAAATTCTGATTTAAATTTAAACACAAAACAAGTTCCAGATATTATATATACATCTGGCGAAAAGCAGTCAGATGTAACATATTTAATGATGGATGATTATTCTGTAAATATGGGTATGTATTTAAAAATTATAGATATCATATTTGTATACAGTAATGTGTAAAATATTATAAAAACATTTAAATTTAATAGATAATTCTGAAGAGTATCCAGAGGATGATGAAAGTGATGGTGAAATCATAGAACAGTCAACAGTACAATATATCCTCTTCGAGGGTGACCAATCTGATTCTGAATTAACATTCGACGAAATTCGTGAAACTCTTCAAAATTTGAAAACAGCAGAATCAAAAGCATCAAAAAAGCAAATGAATAAAAAAGTCGTTAGAGATCAAAGTAATTTTGGAAATGTTAAGGAAACAGAATTGTTAATACATAAAAATTCTAATTTGACTAATCATATGCCTAATGCTTTAACAGGAAGAAAGCAAAACTTGTTAGATAGTCAACAAGAACGTCTAGAGACATTAGCAGATTCGACAGCAGATATAGTATCAAGTAGTACAAATTTAGATATATCGAATGGTTCTATTGAATGTACATCACCTGAATCATCACAAATACAGTACAAAACTAAAAGATCTCGAAAACAACAACTAATTTTGGTAAATCGCGAAGATTCGGAAATTATCATACAACCAGCATCTCCTTTAAACGAAGAAGACAATAATGTTCGGAAAAAAGCACAACGAAAAAGAAGAGTTGTAGCTCATTCTGGGTACCGTCAAAGAAATGACTCGAAAAGAATAAAAAGAGTCAAACGCAAAGAAGTCGAGATTATTGAAATTGATGTTGATGAAGAAGAAAGTATTCTGCAATCAAAAAGCGATGTTGTAGAAATCACTATAGATGATAGTAAAGATAAATATTCTAGTGATAAAGAAAATGAAATTATAATGGTCGGCGATTCTGATGATGAGATACAACAGTCAAATACAAAAGCAATTTTATTACAGTGTCAGCACTGTTCAAGAAATTTCAGACAACAAAGAGCTTTAGAAACTCATTTACGAGTTTGCTCAAAATCACCGTCGAATACAATACGATTTAACGAACAAAAACTAAAACATGCAAATGGAACAGCTGAAAACACTGTTAAGAAACAATACGCTTGTAAAATATGTCAAAAAATATTCGATGTAGTAGTAGCATTAGCGCGTCATGTACGATCAGAACATTCTCAAAGGAAAAAACGTAGATTTAGTAAATCAACACTTGAACGACCACCTGTAGAAGTTGAAGAAAAGAAAGATTACACTGAACCAAAAAAACAGTTGACTATGATTAAAAGAATTAAGAGAAAAAGAAATCAACGACCAAATTTTAGCTGGGAAGTAAAAAAGTTAAGTTGTTCTGATTGTGGTAGATGGTTTCCAAGTGCTGCCCTTCTAAGAGCACATTGTTTACAACATGGAACAAAGAAATCTGGTAAGTTTTGTTAATAATTGTTTTGATTGATATAATTTATAAATTTTTTTTGGTAACTTTCTATTAAGATAATTAAACAATATTTTTTTATAGAACAACAGATACGCCAATGTCAAATATGCAAAAAATTAATTAGGTCTAGATTACTCTTTGTACAGCACTTAAACAAACATGCAAATTTACAAAAAAATACAAAATCAATATCAAATATTCAAAAAAAGCTGCATACTACCAGGTCAGTGACAAGTAAAATTACAACTCTCAGAAAACGGGGACGGCAACGAAAATTTTGATCTCTTCAAATATCAACACATAAACCCTTGTTGCTATTTCTTCTAATGTGAAATATGTATAATATAATAAAAGTTGGAAGTATTTATATGTTTGTTGAAGAAGAAACATCTTTTACTTTAAATTACATTAGATACCTAGTTAAATGTATATATTATTTAGGTATACCATGTATAATATGTATCATTTAATTTTACATTATCATATACATTCGCAACTTATCTGTTATACGAAATTCACTTCTAATTGATATTTCTTATTTGATCATGCAACTCTTCAAACAACATCAAGTGCCGAGAATTAATTAAATTTAAATGAAATGTGAAAAATTATATTATATTAGTAAAAATAAATTAGGTAAGTTAGTCTTTATTCGTAAGTTTAAATGACATACATTAATACTTTTCTCATACATTAATAATATTGATTATTGTAAATAAAATAATTGTATTAAAAGTACATATACATTTATTGACTGACATATACTTTTTTACATGTACAAATTTGCTTCAATTATGAAATTTTTTAAATTTCAATTCGGATCATATAGCACTGCGTGGCTTAAGACTCGGGCAGTGCGAGTGAAGTACCCCCGTTGCATCTGTGCCATATCGCATGCCATCTTCTCGTGGACGCACAGTACTTACATACAATCCAATCATCAAAGATGATAAAGTCGATAGGTATAAAAAATCCTCTTTTATTAAATTTGAATATAAAGATACATACATCTTTACGAGATTGCTTGGGTAGAACTATTCACGATCTTTTGACAGCAGTAGAATGCGCGCATGTGATGAATCATTTACTAATAAACAATTACGTTACTTTTTTATTTGTAATTTTGTTACGAGCCGGGCCGTAGCAAACATATTGACGAGGAATACCTGGACGAACCCGATGAATCGTGCGGACGAATCTGATGCGAAATCAGGAAGTCGCAGGAAATGTTAGTTAGGCCTCGTAACTTCTAAATTAAATTTGATACAACTGGAGCGGTAAAGTTGTATCGTGTGGGATCGTTATAGTTAAAGGATTGCTCAGAATAAGTTGTGGGTCTCGAAATTATCGTACTATTTTTTGTGAATACTCAATATTTATATTAATTCAGTCTTTCAAATATAATTGTGAGAAAAGTAATATATGTGTGAGTGTGTTTGAATTTCTTAATTACCTAGTCTAGTTGCTCGGTTTTGACACATTGGCAATGCGGGGACTGAGAGGGATTACAATAATATGCCGAATAGAATTTCAACCGAACTTGCGGATTTTATAGGGTTAACTGATGATTCGAAAGAGATTTTGAGCTCGATCTCACTTGATGCAATTGACTCTTAGCGAACGTTACGTTACTAATAACTTTTTAGTTCTACCCCAGAGGATGAAAATCGGTTTTCATATACTCCTAGAAAAGAGGTAGGGATGTACCGAGTTTTCCATATAGGAGGTTCGCTAGACTTGGTGGCTACGGACGTAAACCAATTCGCTACTCGGGCCCGTGGTGATGAAAACCATGCGACAGCCCTGAGCGAGCCACTTAAACTTTCCAATAATAAACATTTTTTCTCCGTTCTATTGCAAAAATATCCTTTCCTTAACGAACGTCCATCTAGGACCCAGAAAACGCTTAAGCTGGCAGAGTCATTCTGCTAACCGATCGAGCAACATGTATCGTACAGGGTGTAAAAAAATTAATGGTCACGACTTCAGGGGGTGAATCTACATCCTTGGATCGGTGGACATTTGCAAAAAAAGTTTCCGCAAAATTATTTATAATATTGAAAATTAATATTAACTTGTTTTTACATCAACGTATTCTGCTCGACGAGAAGAGAAAAAGTCTGAAAGGAGCCATGTGCCGCAAACAAATATTTTCCGAGATGGACGTTGATAAAGTTTGGTAACGATTTGATTGAGTAGAGCTATACGTATAGAACCTACTAACAGTCTGCCATTTGGTAGGATCTAGCCGCGTAGGACACGCTCGGTATAATGGTGTGCGCACCCCTACACAAATGCCGTTTAAAGGGACAGCAAGGTATAATTAGCAAACATAACAATAATCGCTGCTAAAGTTTCAATTGCTGATTTGACACTGTTCCCACTCATAGAATAATTCAGAAAAAATACCATTGGATTGCTTGAATTTTAACCTGTAAAATAAGCTTATCAAAATAATAGACAAATTTTGGAAACATGGGATAAAAAAGTAAAGTTTACCATGATGCACATCGTTTGGCGTCGCGCAGGCATCTGTTCGCCTGTTTATGGTGCTGCGCGACGTAAACTTAATTTTTTTTCGAGTGCTTGAAAATATCATTCCGGTCAATTATCGACTGTTCGAATGAGACCCGATCGTCATCTATTGTTCAGAGAAGAGTAAGTGCGATAGCCTTATTTTATCCCTATTGGCTTACTAACAGCGAGCCGTCGCAAGTTCCCCTACATCTCCTACTTCTACGCCCTGAGTGACGTCAGAGACTTCACTTTAGGTTTGTCGGACAGTATACGCGTTTAATATGCAAATTGAATTGAAAAAACCGATCAAAGTGGTTTTAATTTGGAATTACATTCAGGGCGCACTTTGGCTGAAGAAGGTATAAAAATCGTAGAAGGTGATGTTCAATCAGTGTCATCCACCACTCATAGTTACACCATCCAGCCAACCATTTCAGCTGATGGACAATTACTGTCACCATTATTTATTGTACTCAAAGAGAGTACAGGACATTTCGGGCCGATTGTGGAACAACATTTATTTCGCCCTGACAATGTATATATTGCAGCTTCAAAGTCAGGAAAATTAACTACGGACCATTTCAAGACCTGGTTAAGAGAGATTTACTTCGCAAATACTGGGCCCACAACAGTTCTAATTCTTGATTCCTGGAGTGGTCACTGTAAGAAGACAGTGAACGAAGTTACTCCCGAGGGTAAAAACGTAAAACTTTTTATAATACCAAAAGGTGGAACAAAGTATGTTCAACCACTGGATGTTTACGGTTTCCGCACTTGGAAAAATTTCGTCCGCCGATTTTCCGATATAGTTCTCATTTTAAATCACGACATTAATCTCCACGCTAGGATTAATATAATCAAACTTCAATCTCTGGTCCACAATCAATTTTCATCGCCAAGGTTCCAAAATTTTATTAAATACTCCTGGTATAAATCCGGATATATAGATGAAAAACCAAATGCATTCCAGAATCCTGTTGAATACTGCTATTCTGTTGAAAATGAACCAAGATGCCATATTTGCGATGACGTGGCAATAATTAAATGCGCATGGTATAAGAAATCTTTATGTCTCAAACATTTTTTCGACGAGTACCACTATTGTCGAAACTACATAGAATAATTGCTATACACACTGTATGTACTTATAATTTATAAATCGCTCCACCTTTGCCACGATGTCATAGGTGAATAATAAAAACAATTAATCCTTTCATTGCTGTTAAGAAACTTGTTACTGTCATTGTTATTTGTTACTTGTTACTGTATAATTTAGTGCAAGCCTACAGTGCTTCATTAAAATCAAAGTTAGAACGGCTACTACCATAGTGGATGTGTGCGCAATATGTAAATCATCAAAATCTGCAAAACTGTAAGAGGCAATTTTAAAATGTTATATACTAATGGATTTGGAATAAAATGCTCGTCATTTTTTGTCATTATGAAAATTTCAATAAAATGAAAAATTAAGTTAATAAATTTTTTTTGTTATAAACAAACTGTATTTTGTTAAATTTTTTAACACCATGTTATTGTACGTCAGAAACCATTAACCTCGCCCATTAACAATTTTTTCGTATGACTTACCGTTTTCGAGATAGGCGTTTCGAGCCAAAATTTCAAGGGGTGGTTTCACCCCTTAAACTCGATTTACCGCAGCTAACCGCCAGACCGAAGTGCCGACGTTCGGCAGATCGCAATATACCCCCCGTGGACGCACCAGCGCGACACTCAGACAATAGGTCCCAAAAACACTCGGGACATTAAAACATTCGTTACTGGGGATCGAATTTATTTACAACAAATTCGGTTCCCCAAAAGGTCACAGTTTTCGTCGACCAATAGCAGAACACACCACGTTTTCCACGTCCATAACACAACCACCAATCAGAACCAACCTAATGTCTATATATACACCTACACACCTGAAAACCGTCAATTACTGTAAGACGAGTGTACGAGACACAGTCACGAAACGAACAATCCAAATTCAACTAAACATCTAATCGAAACAAGAATTCATCAAAACATCTACAACATCTAATCAAAACCAGAATTCATCAAAACATCTACAACATCTAACCAAAGGACAAACATCTAATCAAAATAAAAAACATCTAACCCAACAACGAAGTTTTAATACACCTCAAACCAGCGAGAACAATCATCAACCTGCGCCAGAACTCCTGATCATAAGATTTGATCAAGGTCCACGACGCAACAATTGGTACACAAGTCCACATTTGTATACATTATTCCATAAGCATAAAACTAATGCATACGGGACTGTAAGAAAGAACAGGATTGGGATGCCGCAGATGAAAAAAAAAAAATCAAGCCTGGAGAATTTGAATATGAATCTACTAATAATTTATTGGCAATGCGATGGTTCGATAAAAAAGTGTTGAACGCTTATATGATATAGATGCATTCCAGATTGTACCATTATTAGTTTAACTGATTCAAATATCAGATAAATATAAACGTTTCGGTAAAATGTTAAATGATTATGGAAAATTTCGGAAGATACGAAACGAATATTAAAATTTTCATATTAGTGTTACGTACGCAGCCTAGCCGACACGGTGGCGCCGAGTCTTTAGTCTATCGCGCATCCCCTAGAACAGTGACGGCAAACCTTTTGAGCTCGGTGTGTCAAAATTCGGAAAAAACCTAGCTTAACTCGGGTGCCATGTCACATCTAGAAATATCCATAATTGTTGCGACCGTTACGACCTTGTACGATCACGGACTCGCTATGGTT